AAAAACTTCAGTGAAGAATCCTGCACTGACACCTGTTGGATATAATCCAACGCCCTTCGTGGTATTAGCCAGAAGAGTAGTTGTTTTCTGATAGGTGTCAGTCCATTTACCTACAGTGTAGGTGAGTTGAGACCGGCCTGAACGAATCGTTCTTGTAAATGATTTGATTATAGCCGGTCTTCAAGTGCTTTATGTACAATATCCATCTTGTACGTGAAAACTGTTTCAAACTGAAAATGTACCTTCAACCTAACCTATTCAAACACTGACTGCAACTGATGAAGAAAGCATATCTACAATTATTGCAAATTCAAACATTTAATCAAACTAAATCTAAAATTGAGAAAAACTGCTAGAATATAAAAACATAAATTCCAAGAATTCTACTCCACTTCAAGCGATACATATTCTCAATATATCTAATCGATAGAAATTCCATTATTAATATGTCTACTGTGGCGAGTAATAAAGTTCAAAGTATACAACCGAGTATAAATGCTGTCAACAGACGCTTCTTTGAAGAATCAATTCATTCCTATAACACCAAACGATTCATTTGCTCCAGTACTATAATATATTGCGGAAAATCAGAATCGATCATCTGCACCATACTGCATAAAACACCAAGAACTTTCCAATGCAACTTTTTAATATTTCTGCCATATAGTTCCGTCATTTGGTTCCATTAACTCAAAATGTAGTTACAAACTTTTTTGTTCAAATTGCTGTAAATATACTGCAGAAGCTAAAAGCTTTTGCGTCGAGGCAGTTCAAAAACGATAATTCTTTAAATAGAACTACAAATCGCAGACATTTGCATTCGATACTAGTTGAGCCATAAAATTCGTGTTCCATGATATGTTTTATGGATTTTCGAGAGGCTCGAGTGTTCTGGTAATTGCAATTGTTCATATAAAAATAATAAAGTTGTTCAACTAGACGATAAGGAAAATAATATATAAACAGAATTATTACAATGTTCAATCACCCTATTTCTGAACAGAATTTTGGAATATTATCGTCTCCATTACATGATTTTATGTTTCAATAATAATTATTGATAGTTATATACTAGTATTACGAAATAATTCCTAATAACTGGTTTTCCCCTTGGTATTAAATATAGGGAAGTTAATCAGTGGTATCAGTATCAGTATTATAACACTTGACTATGAGGAAAGAAATTGTGAATTTCGACATACAAACATGCTGCCATCCTCTTCTGCATTTTTTGATATGGTCTTGAAATGTATGATTGAAGGCAGTATGTTAAGTTTTTCATACAAAAATAGAGTTTGATGAGAAAATCATTCAGTCATTCGAAAATAATGCAATACTCCGCTCTTAGGCCTATCTAAAGCACATGATTGTCTGATAACAATTATTCATAGGCAAAAATTGATGAATTCGAAATTAGAGGTAAGATCCTTGAAATGATTTGAATAATATGTGTCAAATGCACGAGAAAAAATTCAAACAGGCTGATGGATGTAGCCGTTACTACGTGGTAGGAGCTTACCATGAGAAATTAGAAATAAAACTTTCTATATTTTTCACCAACTTTATTTGTAACTGATNAACTTTTCACATATAGTCAGTGGGTATACTTGAAGACAGTCTATAAATCAAATCATCTAAAAGGAACAATTCGTTCAGGCCAGGAATAACTTCAGTGAAAAATTCTGCATTGACACCTGTTGGATATGATCCAACGCCCTTCGTGGAGAGTTGTTGTTTTTTGATAGGTCTCAGTCCAATAACCTACAGTGTAAAAAGTTGATACTGGCCTCAACGAATTGTTCTTTCAGATTATTTGATTCACAGCCAGTCGTCTATATGTGAAAAGTTTTCATTCCTTATACGAGGAATTGGGCAAATTTTCGGGTATGCGGTTAGTTACCTTGTTCACAGGCAGATCTGTTGTTTGTTGCCCGCTTCAGCCTAGTTCGAGGAATGATACTCTGAAAGAATTTGATTTTCAATTATCGAAAATCATCGACTTTATGTTGATGACAGACACTACCTTGCACTGACGAATGGCCAAACAGCGCGAAACTGGTCTGCGAGTGTGTTCCAATAATTGAAAATCTATTGCGACAGTTGTATCGCCAATAGCATATGCAGGAATAAATTTAGTGAAGAATCCTGCACCGACACCTTTCGGATATAATCTAACACCCTTCGTGGTTTTAGGCAGGGAGGTATCTGTAGAGTAGGGAGGGTGAATGTGAGCCCACGCACTTAGGCCACATGTGACCCATTGTACATCCTCCCGAGGAGTTGTCCTCCTAGGTCATCGTCCATCATGTCCTTTCCTGGAAGGTGGACAGATCGCTGGGAGACATCTCCTTTATACCGGCAGGTGTAGGTCAAGACTTGCCGGACATACAGTCTCTTATTGACGATAACTCCGGGCACTCGCACAGGACATGCCAGACAATCTCATCTTCCTGTTCACACATCCTGCATAGAGGTGTGTCCACTAGCCCCATATTATGGAGGTGTTTTTTCTTAGTTGACACTGGCCAGTCAGAAATCCTACTGTAAGGCATAGATTTTTCCTGGTCATCGCCAGATATTTCTTCGGCACCAGCTTCCCAGGGTCGCCCAAGGTGATCCTGGCAAGATTACATCCTTTGATTCCATCCCATCTTTTTGAGGATTGAGCATGGGTGTAACATTTGACTAGTTCCGCAATTGTTGAAGTCATCAGGCCGTGGGTGCCACTGGGTCCTAAAATTCTTCACACCTCAGGATAATGTTATTATCTACCGAGGTTTTGGCTAAATCTTGGTGGCACTCTAGTACTAGCCCTGAGGTAACACGCTGTCTGTTCAAGGCTAATAGTGATTGTCTGCTATCAGTGCAGATTGTTATGTTTTTGCCAGAAATTCCTTTCTTAGTTATTTCTTTTGTGGCGATTGAGATACCAGCCAGTTCTGTTTGGACCACGCTGGCATTTCTTCCCATTCCCCACTTAATCCTTAGGCTTAGTAATTTGGAGTACACTCCACATCCTGAGCCTTCTTTGGTGTTTGAGCCGTCTGTATAAATCCGTATTGCATTTGTAGCATCTGACTCTGTGTTCTGCAAACCTGGGTTCAATTGTATCACTTGTTGCCTGCAGCAGAGGTTGCGCAGTGAGTGCTTTCCGCCATAGGCCCAGCCTCAATTGACCCATTCCCACTTCGAGTTTTACACCAGCCGTGCGCAATCGTACCATGGCCATTTACGAAACCTCCTCAACGTACAGATCCAGAGGGGTCAGACCCGTGATTAATTCCATTGCCGCGGTTGGTGTTGTTCTCATGGCTCCTGTGATGTTTAAACAAGCCAGTCGCTGTATTTGATATAATTTTTGGATGGCCGTTGCTTGTAGAACTTTCGGTCCCCATGCAATGGCTCCATACGTTAACATAGGTCGTATTATTGCAGTGTAGATCCAGGTGACCACACGGGGTGAAAGACCCCATGCGCGTCCCACTGTTCTCCGACACTGCTCATAAGCCACGTATGCTCTTTTTGCTCTACTCTGTAGATGAGAGTTCCATGTTAACTTCTTGTCGAGGATAGTACCAAGGTATTCCACCTCTTCAGAGAAGTTTAATTTGCTTTTGAAGATTTCGGGAGATTTTAAGCCCGTTAAACTTCTTTTCCTGGTGAAAAGGACCATCTCTTCTTGGGATTGATCGACAGTGAGTGTTCCTTATATTACACCATGTTTCTATTAATTTGAGCCCATCCTGCAGTCTATTTACAAATTTGCCGGTCTGCAAGATAACTATGTCATCTGCGTATGCAATTGTGTGGAATCCATTTTTGTTAAGGTGATTAATTAGGTTATCCAGAACTATGTTCCAGAGAAGGGGTGATAAGACCCCTCCCTGTGGACATCTCCTCATGACCAGTCCTTTCACTGTGATGTCTTCTACATTAATACTTATTGCTCTACTAGAGAGCATCTGGAGTATCCATTCTCCTACTACCAGGGGTACATTCCTGGAGTGCAGTTGCTGGGTAATTGTTGGAAAGGTTATTTTATCAAACGCTCCCTCGATATCTATGAATATACCTAAGGTGGTTTCATTGTTGTCCAATGATCTCTCGATTCTGCCAACCTCATGGTAAAGGGCCGAATCAGTAGACCTTCCCGGAAAATATGCATGCTGATTTGGATGAAGTGGGTTGTGAACAAGTACTTCATCTCTTATGTACCGCTTACATAGCCTCTCCATGGTTTTTAAGAAAAACGATGTGAGACTAATTGGTCGGAATGCTTTTGGTAGGGTGTAGTCCATCCTACCTGGTTTGGGTATAAATACTACTCTTACTTCTCTCAACTTACTGGGAATATACCTCAGAGCTAGAGAGGCTCTGAATATTCCATCCAGGTGTGGCATAAGAGTGTCCAGTCCCCACTGAAGTAGGGCTGGTCTTATACCGTCAGGTCCTGGTGACTTGAAGGGGGAAAATCCCGATATAGCCTATCTTGTTTTATCATCATCAATTACTGTACCAGCATATTGCCAGTCGTATTGTGAGGGTGTTGTTGGTACATCCGTCCAGTTCGTCGTTTCAGGTAAGACAGAACCTGGGAAGTGAGTTTCCATAAGAATCGCAGCACTCTCCTGGAGGTTGGCGGCTTTGTCGCCATTTTCTCTTGTCAGGATGCCGATACTCTTATGGTGGTCATTTGAGAGTTCCTTAACCATGAATCGAACTGGTGGTATATAATCTTCAAAGGGAAACTTTATTAATAAATATACAGATCAGATCATAAAAAAGCTATTCTGTGAAAGTATTTTTGTTGACGAGTAACAGTTTCTGACCGACTGGACATTTCTTTCAAAGTTTCATGCCAGACTGATGAACTTTTCAGTTTACCTTCACAAAGCGTCAGCAGATTCTCTATTGATCTATATTTATTAATTTTTTTGACTGAAATGTTCACAGTCAGCAAGTCTTTTGTTAAATTATTATCAACAACAATTTTGTTTCAGTCTGTACACAATACCAGAGACTTCTCATCAGACTATGGATCCCATTTACACCAAACAAGTAGTAAATCTAGTAGAGTTTTAAGTACCTCCTGTCATAACGGAATCTCTAGGACCTCTTTGATCCACACAGACGTGAGTATAATTTTTAATGTGTTATCGAGAGTTACGAATTCGAAAAATGTAACAACAGTCGAAAAAAATTCTTCGAGAAACAATTCCATCGAACTTCACTTTTCATCGGTTGATATTATTACGTTTATGGCAAAACTGACAATGCGAGCGAGCAAATCAAGTTCTAATAATTCCAGTCACGTAACGTGACGTCACAGTGTACTACAAATTACTCCAATAAAAAACTACAATCAGTGTGACATAATTCATCATCAAATTTCTGATGACATTTTTTCGAAAAATAATAATTTTTTTGCCACAAATTACTGCAATGAGCATATCGCTCATTTGCTGCAACAGCGTCATAACTCAAAAATCAATGTACATGCTCGTTTCCAGTTCCAGATTCAGTTCAATGATTGATTTTGAAGTTTGAGAACGAGTGTGAATAATTTGCTGACAAAAAAGGCATTGTTTATGTTCAGAAATGTACATGAATTTCACTCGATACTGATGCCATCAACACCAACACGCAAATGCAATCCAACCTTATATGATATCTCCCAAAATATTCTGCTGACTAACGCCTTCCAATCGGAATATTTCGATCAAACTTCATATTTTCATTTCTGTTTTTTATGTTTTTAATGCCACCACAAATTAAAGAATTACCTGTTTCAAACAAATTTATTTCTAACAATATTTCACTAATCACAAACTAATTTTTTTATTACAACACTTAGCAACTAACGCTTAATTTATTTTCATTATTTGAATTTCTTGTTTAGCCGCTTGATTCACTTTCTGCACTGCCCTCTTGGGTCGGGAAGCCGGGCTTATATAATGTAACGGTTCTTTCGAGAAATCTGTAGTCGGTTCGGTACCCGACTAGAGTTTTACCGACGGTTGCCGACTGCATTATTTTGCGGTGATGTCANAAAAGCGTGTTTTTTAGTTTTTTCTAATTATATTTATTCACCTCAGAAGTCGACCGGAACAAATTTTATGTTACGATAATTTTATAGAAAGTTACTATTATCAATAATTGAGAACGTTTACTGAAACTGAAACTGAAAAACATAAACAACCCAATTTCACACAGCATGCCACGTCGATCAATAATATTTTTATCGTGTTCATGTTTTCAAAGGGGACTCAGCAATAAATACAGAAATTATTGTTCAATCTCAGAAATATTTTAAATATTGAAGATACCGTATATAAAGAAATTTAATTTTCCAGAAGTCATTTTCTGAAATAATAATTATGAATTCTGGTTAGCAATTAAGGAAGTATATAGTATATAATTATTTTCGCCGTAGAAGTGATGTCAACCATGTTGAATCTCAATACATTACATTAGTTTTGAAAAATTACTTTAGATCATTTACTGAAGATGCCAAGTTGCTTAGCAAAACGTACTTGGAGAAAAGTATTGTCATAATTACTTAGATTCATTTATTCATTTATAATAACATATTTCTCATCTTATAGAATAAATAGAACTTTCTTTCTCACCGCAAAGATATCCAAACAGAAATATATAAATTAAATTCACCCCTGTCACCACACCACACCTTTCGCAATATTTTATCCTCAAAACCCGTATCGGCCAAGTCTTGCTCCCGTAATAGTTCCACTGGAATTTCTCCTGGGGATTGTGCACGAGCTCTAGGCTAGCATTTTGTGTCAACATTACTTTCCCGAAAAGGGTAATATAGTAACTTTCCAGAGGAATTCGTGAGTAAACAGGTCTCGTCACTTTCGGCGGTCCTACTAAAGTTCAAACTAGCGAAGACAATCGATGATTGCAAGGAGGAGCTGGATAAATATTGAGATTCTACAGGGCGGATCACCAAAATAATGTATGGGAGAGCTATTCAGGAGCATAAGCGGAAAAAATTCAACATGTACGTAATACATTCAAAAATAAGATTTTTATAATATTTTCGAAGAAGTTTCATAATATCGTAACGAGTTAAAGAATTAACTGTCTTAAACAAATTTATTTTTAACAATACTTCACTATCACAACTAATTTATATTCAACACTTAGCAACTAACGCCTAATTTATCTTCACTGTTCGAATTCTTTGTTTACCACTCGATTCGCTCTCTGGAAAGTCATCTTCGTGTCTTTCAGGCTTGAAGTCCAGCTCCCTTACCCTTTCGGCTGATTATTGGTCTCGAGAAGGACCAATGGGTATATGAGTGATGGTATGGCGGCATGAAGTCCTCAGACATCAGTACCGCCCTTCACGGGATACCCCTACCTGGCTGGGGTGGGATGGATGAGAAAGCTATTCATCCGTTAACGGGTGACATGAGGGCCTCATTCGACAGAGTGTCAGGGCCTTCTATATCGGGAGGGGTCGTCTACAGCATAATCTGTGGCTTCCCTAACTAACGGGTTTTCATGAGTTTCCGTTTTTTCGAAAACTCTCTCATTCCTCGACTGAATGGACTGCCGAATGGAAGGCAGCTGCAAATCTCTGCGGATGGCTTCATTCCGCACGAACCAAGGAGCATTCACAATCATCCTAATTAACTTATTTTGTAGTCTTTCCAAAATGGAAATGTTAGACGGAGCCGTTTGTCCCCAGACGCCTGAAGCATACATGATGACAGGCTTGAACATCATATTATAGATGGTAATTTTGTTCTGTGTGCTCAATTTGGATTTTCTGTTGACCAGAGGGTACAGACTAGCTATCCGACCCTCGATCTTTGACTTAACGCACATGATGTGCGGGTTCCAAGTGAGCACTACGGTCTATTAGAAGGCCCAGGTACTTTACCCGCGCTTGCCAGTCAATCTCCCTTCCAGAGATTCTCACTTTTCTGGCCGGAGAAGATAGTAATTTTCCCATGGTTATCGCCTGACTCCCTCTCTGAGCGAGGACCTGACCTTTTATATCGGTAACGATCGTTCTAGATTCCTCTAGTGGTTTCGATACTCATCTACACTTTTCGCGGCGGTTCGCGGTAAGTCATGTGTTAGCTGGCTGAGATATCGGTCAGGGCCGGCTACAGATTCGTTACAATATCTTTAACATTTTATATTTTTCCAGTGTTGAAATTTTCTTCCGCTCCCCTACTTACTCAGGAATTTAACAACAGTTGAGTCCAGCAACGCATTTGTGATTCAGCCCGGCACCACTGATGAGGAGGATGGCGGGTGGAAACAGTGTTATTGAATCATGAATACGTTCTGTTTGGGCTCTGGTTTTCAAGTAGTTACCTTGAAATGAAAGCTGCAGTGAAAAACAGAGGGCGAATCTTTTTGGGCGATCGATGTCGAAGCTTGACTTTGCAACTGACCGCCTTGAGGGGCCTTATTTATCTTTGAAATTTGAGGATTTAGTTCTCAGTTGTTCTCATATATAGCGTTTTCGTTCGGGAAGATATCCTCGCCCTCATTCAAAGAAGTAGTTAATTTGAATTGAAGGGGTTATATTTTTTAGGAGAGATTAATTTTTGGGAAAGAAAATTTTTGGCTTTTTACTACTCTATCTTGATACAAAAAAATAAGGATGAGGGAGTCTTCCAAAGGAAGGAAGGATGTGTAGATCATGCAAAGAAGTAACTTTCAGACACAAACTGAAAGAAAGTCCTCCTGAAACAGCTACTTTCATATAAACATTGAATTATACGAAAGAAAAAATTCTTTCGAAACAAATACTTCTATATGAACTAAAAAGGGATGATGCTAGGGGTGAGGGGGTGGCTTTTTCAGTAAGTTTAAATAAGCCATAATGCTTGCCCCTTCCAACATAAATTGACGTGTTTTTGGATTTTTCCTAAATACCAGTATTACAAAAGTTATTAAAGGTGGATACTTTTATCTGAAAAGCACTGTATATTTCAGCCTGAACCAACTTCTTCAGTCTCTACACATATACCTACTTGATGAAATACATCTTTATGAAACGTGAAACAGAAATCGAGAATACACAATTTGGATTCGAATCATGAATCCCTGCAAATTACCATTCTTGCGGAACTAATAGAAGTATTGAAATCAAACATAGAATCAACATTACCTACCTGGATCTCTTAGGTGTCGATCTTCAAATCTCCTGACAAATGGACTGTATTCATTGATTAGAGGCTGCAAAGCGGTGATTTTCCAAAGAGCGAAATTTTTTTGTAAAAACCGTAATATCGGGCCATAGCGAACAGCTACACTTTTTTTTAATTCTGCGTTTCATTTAAACAGCTATGACCCTTACAAAACCCTTAACTCGTTAAAATAACTTAGTCCGCCTTTTCGTCTGTCAGATTTTCATGTTGATTTTCATCATACTGTATGTTTAGATCCAAATAACTACTATGTTTATATATATTCGTCGCCGACGTTCTCGAATATGATCCTATGGAGATAATGTTGTACATTTATTTATCTCATCCTGATGCTGCTGACTTTGCTGATGAAACGTGCCTAAGATTGATTTTTGACTATCCAAGCAGTCGCTCAACGAAATATTTGTTTATAATACTTGCCGGTAGACTGCCACCACGTACGGAATTTTAATAAACATGGCTATATTCATGATTAGTCTGATAACCAGTCGGGTATACAAAATCAGAACAGCCAGTATGAATAACTACGACTCACTATGAACAATGGATTTCAACATTTGTGACGGAAGTGTTGCTTGTATTTTGGGTCCATTTTTGCCGATATTCCGAAATTTTGACGCGTTAATTGTGAAAAAAATATGGGTAAGTGATTTTTGACTCCGAATTAGCAAATATCTTAATATAACCGTAATGTTATTACGATTTGTGAAATATTTTCCTTCTCGATTGAGTTTTAACAGGCATTTTTCGAAGATGAAAAATATCTGACAGATATTCATAGATAGATAAATAGAAGCTAAACTAAATTTTGGGTCCATTTTTGCCGATATTCCGAAATTTTGACGCGTTAATTGTGAAAAAAATATGGGTAAGTGATTTTTGACTCCGAATTAGCAAATATCTTAAAATAACCGTAATGTTATTACGATTTGTGAAATATTTTCCTTCTCGATTGAATTTTAACAGGCATTTTTCGTAGATGAAAAATATCTGACAGATATTCATAGATAGATAAATAGAAGCTAAACTAAATGTTTAATGTTTATGTTTATGTTTTTTCCGTTTACCAGCTATCACACCCCTACGAACGATAACCATCAGAAGTCGAAACTTGTGCGAGCTAAGGACTAATGAGGTCTTATTTTTTAACGTGTGATTCCTAACAGTACATTTTTGCTGACAAAATCAAAGAGTATTATTATATATGTACAACGTACAACAACCCATTTTTGGCAAAAAATAATAAACTAAACATATGACAACATGCAAATGACATACTCGTAAAATAGAATAAAAGACAAAAATTATGTAATGACAGTGACAAAAATAACTGAAGTTTTTGTACGAAAATACGAATATCAAGTTTGTTAATCAATTTGAACTATAGAGTACTCGATCCAGTAAAGTGCTTGTTTATAACGTTTCTAGATTTACTTAAATCTTTCATATTTATTGGCCATCATATTCTTTGGCCTTGATACTTTGCTAGTATCCGACTTCTTTATTACATGGTTCAAAATTGAATTGAACGGAATTGTGGAGGATCTCCCTGTGTCACCTCTTTTTATTCAAACTTCAAAGCTTCTTATAACTGTGCTCCTTACTTTCACTTTTTATTTGGTATTGTGCATTGTCACCTTCACTGACTTAATCAATTCCTTTGCAATTTTACACTTCTTGGGTACAGAAATATATAATTTGTGTCCCAGATAAGGAGGGCTAGCATAAGAAAATTGGAATCCGTGAAAGATACAAAGTTGGTTGAATTAGGAAAATATTGTTTGTTTCAAAGCTAGTTTGAATGATGTTCTGGAATTTAGGAAATTCTCATCAGTTCCGAAGATATTCGAAAAGTACTGAATTAGCCAATTTCAATAGGCTAATTTTATGCCAGAAATTCTACCTCACATTGTACAAACTACATGTATATTCAATAACTATTCTTTGCTAAATTTTTGTATCTGCTAAAGGTGGTGGATATTGTCATACTTTGGATTTCCATTTCCTGGCGGAGCTCTCCTATTCTCCAATTCTCTCAACCATTTATTTCTAACTGCAATCTCTGCTTGATCGATTTTATAAGCTATATCCAGCAGTATTATATATCAGGTGTTATCGTTTTTTGTTATATTTCTGTATAAGTAAGAAGTGTATGACAGCCTGATTCACTTTGAATGTTGGCTTCAGCTCCAGCCAGTTATGTTCCATATTCCATTTCTTACTTCCCCATGTTCCTCTTTGAAAACCTTCGGAAGCTATCTTTTCTATCTTCCTCTCACTTTTTCTGGGTCTCGTGGTAGGTTTTCAGCATCAACTTCAATGAAAATGTTTATCCTTTCATTTCTATAGTCGGTGTAATTCGACTCAACAGTGTGAGTCCTTGATACTGTTCATCAAAAAAAAGCGTCATCATTGGCCCAAAGTACTACATAAATGGCCCTTTCAATGTTATTCACCTTGACCTAAAAAACAACACTCAACAGAACACCATATGAAAGATTTTTGCACAAATTACGATATTCTAGTATCTTTGGCCCATTTTTGCATTATATTCCAAATTTTTCATCAAATAATAGAACTTACTGAGTTCGAATTGATTACCATCTTGCACCACCTTGACCACCATGCCCAGCAAAAATTGGCGTTCCTCAAGGACTTGTAATTGCCTCTCTGCTTTCCAATTAATTTGTCATAGATCTCGTGAAAGAATTCGAACACAATATGGCTAATTGGCGATTAACTGCTGAGCTCGAGCGTCTGGAAAAATGGCCTGAAGTAGGTTCTGACTCATGATAGACTAAGATGAAGTTTTATAAAAATGTTTGTTTTCTACTTTCCTTATAATATATTTGATGGAAATGATAGAAAAGGAAAAATACTTTTGTCTTTCTTATAGCCCCCTGAACTCAATTCAAGTTGCATTATTTATTATTTGACAATCGGTTGTTCAAATTAGTAAAACTGAAATCATCATTATCACGAGATGTCACATACGTCCGTTCCGTCATATAAAAGTTCGGAATTTCCAATGTACCGTCTCTCCTTTTTACAGCTGCCATTACTAGAGACAAGCAAATCGTCTTCCAGGCTCAATCTCAACCAGGGAAAACAGGTCACCACCCCAATGTCGCCAACGGTGGATACATTTCCCGCAATCAACAATAACAGCCGGAATGCTCACGAGCTCACCAATAACAACAAAGAGGAGAATGGTTTTCCGATGACCCCATCAGGTAAGACATAAACTTTATGAGATATTATGTCGGGTTAGTGATTGTTCTTTCCTTACCCAAAATGGGGTCAGTTTGATGTGATTTGCGGAAGTATGGAGGGAATAAAATACAACTCAAAATCATAAACCATAAATATAGTGAAAAATCTACAGGGCGTTCATTAAACATGCGGCAAAAATTAAGTGACTATTCCTTGGACTATTCTAAGGATATTTTGTCATTTGATGAGTTTTGATAGAGCGCTTTGTTTGGAAGATACGGGACGAAAAAGAATTTCGACAATAACAATACTTCTTTTAAAGAAGAGTGAAAAATTTATATATTTTTATTGTGTATTGTGTGCATAATTTTTTAGAACTGTTAGTTGACACATCTGATAACTATCAATTCAACAGTAAAATTTGAGCTGTAAACTTTCGTCATTATGCTCACATTTTTACCTAAATGAATGATATCAAAGAATTACTTGATGATTACTGCTGGGCCTGGTGCTATATAGAGTTTCCGGTATAGATTTAAGTACTTCCAGAAGCTCTAAATCGTGAATTAGTTCAATGAGATGAGTTGACGCATCTATCCCAGAACAAGGAACTGAGAGTATGTAAATATTTTCTTGATGCGTGATAAATATCCGCTCTCTCGAGCATCTGAGATCGATGTTGAATATTCCCAAGAAGAGTACGTTTATATTTTCCTGTGAATAAACATTGTAATGTTATTCAAAATCTGATTATTGATGGCAAAAAAGGTTAAATCTGCTTCTGTTTGTACTGTGTTGTTGCATATTATTAGATACCGAGACAGGTAACCCGAGTTCATTCGTTAATTTTTGTTATTGTCTATACATAGTATTACTGAAAATTAAGATAAGGATAGTGGGTCATACACAAAATAAATATCTAAATACTCAGTTTGAAACAGCCATATACTTAGTGAATCCTATAAAGTAGGTTTTGAAATTTTGTTTTTTTATGAGTGCTAGCTAGGTCTTGAACAAACGACTTGAATGTATAATGGTTTTTTGTATGCACGTACAATTTTCCACTAAACTAACAAAGAATTAGATTTCTTCATCAAATTTCTTCCTATTTTCAAAAAGGCATAAAATTATTTCGATTCTAGAGTAGATTATAAATATTTCACGAAAGACAATAAATAGATTGATTTTCATGAGTAATAATTTTCTATTCAATACATGCATTCAGTACAGTGACATCCATTTTTCTGCAAGTTTCCAGGAAACAATACCTTCTTTATAAGAGTCAATGTCCTTTCGTAATAGTTCATTATATTTACGTTTCGAAAAATATGTTTATGAATTCATTGAGAATTCAAATAAATGTTCGGCGTTATGTAAACTTCGAATTGCGATCTACATCTTCATTAATAGAGAGAGTTAGATTTATGCTGATCACACGTATTTTTATAGAGGCCCTTCGTATATATGGAAATCGACTGTCGGACTACGAAAAGACTGAAATAGAAAAATATTCAAAAATATGGTACCTCGGATTAACAGCATGCAAGATTCATGGAGAACAAGGAACAACGCAAAATGGTGGATACGACGATGATAGTGGAAGTTATAACAAAGTAAGCGCCATAAACACACATTCAACCATATATGTGTCACCTTTAAGTCCAAAAATTCTAACCTAAATTTATAATGTCAAGTATATAAAAGTAAAGTTCAAAATTAAAAATTGCATACCCACCAATGCAAAATATGAACAACTGTTTTCAGATCGAAACATTCTATATTCTAAAAACATAACTATGATCTACGGTCATATCAGATATATAATTCTAATCTAATTTCAGCTACCTGAAAAGAGTGGATACAATCAAAAATTTTATTAGATTTGAACACACTACACAAACAAAAAAATTAGTTGTTTCATGTATTCAATAACAAATAAATAAAAAAAATCAAATATAAATTTCATAAAAATCAATAATATTCATGATCATAACACTACACGAACAAAATTGTTATCTAATTTTGGATAGGAACCAATTTATCACGATGGACATATAATATAATACAATTCCTTTAGAAATAAAAAATTCTAAAACTGCTCTCAAGTTCAAAAATCAATTGAAAAAGTATTTATTGAATTGAATTGAAAATACAGGATTTTCATAGCCAGAATCATCTAAATATTTTTGAATTAATGCAAATGCGCCACTGGAATCAATGAATTTGCCCGGGGGTGCCAATTAATTTTAATTGTTGTTTTTATTTTTATCGTTGTTTTTTCTTAAATAAAATGTTTTTTATTATTATTTGTGTTTTCTTTTTCAATATTCCATTATTCTGTTAAATTTTTATCTTAAGTTAATTTAGTCGATCCCTATTCATAAACATTTAATGTTTCAATACAAGCGAAAAAAATAAAATACCCATTCACTAGTAAAAATTTTGTATAAAAAAGGCAATAAATTATTGAATATTACATTTTAATCATAGGGTGATGAAGCATAATTATCTGGTAACGGGAAGCTATACAACTCGATTTGATCATTCATTAGATATTGGGAATTTTTTTACTTATTGATTTTCATACTTTCGAGAAGGTCATTTTTCAAAGCTTTTTTTTCGGAAATGAAGTGCTTTGAATTAGTGTCCCTCTATAAAGAGGTGAATAGCATAAATCAAACCTATTTTTCCACTCTGAAAACTGTTCTTTTATGCGTGCTCTGAATGTTCTTCCAGTTTGACCCATGTTAGATATTGGACATAAACCACAAGGAAATTCACACATACTATCGATCCATCTGACACCAAACTCTCGTCTATGTTATTTCAAATATGCATGCTTAAGTTATTATTTGTTTCAAATATAGCTTCTAAAACCAATGATGACTTGAGCATGCATATTGAAAATAACAAAGACAAAAGTTTGGTGTCAGATAAATCAGGAGTGTATGAATTATCTTGTGGTTCATGTCCGATGTTTCACATAGGTCAAACTGGAAGAACATTCAAAGCACACATGAAAGATCATAAAAATAGTTTCCAGAATGGAAAAATCAATATGTTCAAAAAACTCCCAAAGTCAATGTGTAATATTTACAAATTCTTGGACCTGTTTTTCAGATAATTTTCACGAGTGAATAAATATTTTTCACTTTCTTACCTGTATTCACCCGCTTCTGATAGTTATTGAACTGATTTTATCTGCTCCTTTCAGGAAACTAAAATTGGTTCAGGATTGATTATCTGATTGTATTGTAGATCATAGTAGTGTTTTTAGAATGTAAAATGTTTCAATCTAAAAGTAGTTGATCATATCTTGCTTGAGAAAGCTATTGTATACTTGCCACGGTTTTGTAAACCTTTTTATAGTGAAAATAAAAATAATTCCCATAAGTGTTTTAGTTTTAAATAAAATTTATTCAAATGAAGGAAAGTGTATTATAGATTATAATATAATGAAATTTGCACCTAGAGTAAAATGCAGTGAATTGTTGTTTTTCATTTACTTCTTCTCAATGCGATAAAATGAAATCTTCGATGGTTTTTAGATAAAATAAAATGAACACAAAAAGTGATAGACATTTTTTTAGAGTTTCACTGCAGTATCTTCAATTTCAGGTTTTGCATGACCATATCTGTTACCGATACGAAATATTAGAGGTGATAGGCAAAGGTAGTTTCGGCCAAGTCATCAGAGCATTAGACCACATGACCAACAAACACGTCGCTATCAAAATAATCAGGAACAAGAAGAGGTTTCACCATCAGGCTCTAGTGGAAGTAAGAATCCTCGACCATCTCAGGAAAAGAGACACAGAACGGACCCACAACGTCATCCACATGCTGGAATACTTCTATTTTAGGAACCATCTGTGTATTAGTTTCGAATTACTCAGGTAAGAAAACGATCTTTCTTTGTATTCGAACTCTTCTTTCAAAAAATATCATTTCAAAGATGCGATCTTGCAATTTCCTTCTAGATAAGAAGCCTCTGTCTGTGAACAAAGGTGAACGGTTTTGTTGCTGCATTCAGTCACGTATACGTGAACCAGTGTTCTTTATTGTATCAAACAGGAAGTTGATATTGTTATTCCTTTAAAGCATATAACAAACTCAATAGCTCATTGTATACACAAGATGTATATTATTAATTATCATCTTCAATGACGGTAGATGCAGTTTTACCGGAACACATACAATTCTGTAAATGAATGAATAACATAATTCACTGATAAGAATCCAGCAGAATGATACTATTTTTTAGGAACACAATAAATGGGAAACGTTCCAAAAAAAACTTTTTCTGGAGATTCAAGACGTTGGGAAATAATCAAATCCTTGCCAGAAATGTCTGTTTCCTTGGCTGAACAATAAAATACTGCTATAAAACTAGTGTTCTTTTTTCAGAGAACAATAAAGATACTATATTTTTCTTTCATTCAGTGAGAAACAAGTCAATCGATAAAACTGAAGACGATCATTTGGAAATAATGAATTCGTTGGGGAATTAAAGTGAAAAACCATTACGTTAATTGGGCATGTAATAATCTGAGTTTCACTTCAATTATGTCAATTGAGTTCATTGAAGTACTACACTTTTCATTTACGAAATAGTCCGACCTACACTTGGTATAATAGGTGTAACAAATCGTCGATTAACTACGTTTATATAAAAAACGAACTACTACAGAAAACTTATGATGCACTGTTTGGAACCTTTGGTGTGGTAATGAATATTACTGGAGTTTTTTCCCAACACCAAATCCTTATTTTAACACCACTTCGACACGTGTTTCGATCACCAAGTGATCATCTTCAAGAGGAATATCAAAAAAATATACTATAGAAACTTGGGAAAACTTCGCTCAAGAAATTAGTTTCATTTTTAAGAATAATTTTTCAGTATTACAAAGGGCAGCAATTCAATTTCGTGTTTTTAGAAACTTTCTCTGGAATTCCTCAAGGTAGTGTCCTTGGACCACTCATGTTCGCTATATTCACTTCTACGCAGATAATATATCTTGCATGCATCTCGAATGTTTAAAAAATGAGCTGCATGATTTTGGCTGTAGAGAAAATGATTATACGGTGTGCAGAGAATTATCCAATGATCAATCTAAGTGAGAATGTGACCATTCGTATAGAACCAGGAAAACTTAATTATTCTATATGTGGTTTTTGCGGCCAAATGAATAGTTCACTTGTAACATAAATTTCTAAAGCAAAAAATCTAAATCATAAAAGTATCTTTCTTTGAGTTGAAGTTTTTATGTCACCTGAAATACTAAGTGGATAAAATATTAATTAAAATTGGTGCAAACTCACATGTATTATTGCTGTATGATATACCTTATATTTGATAAACAACTACAGTAGAAAAAACTACAATTATCTTGCAATATTCCTTTTACCTGAAACATCATGAAATAACATGTTATAAGGAACTTCATTAATGATAGTAAACAATTCAAATTCTAACCTGTAACTGAGTAGGTTGAATTGAAACCTGTGGCATAAAATGAATCTATTGAAAACACATTTCCACGCCACAAAATTTACGCATGTTTTGCCAACCAAGTTAGCAGCAACTGACAAAAAAAAAACAATGATCTCCTGATGATACCAACTAGGTTAGCGAAATGCCCGTCGGAAGATAGTACCGGTGTGGGAAAAGTATTTTCAATAGATTTCTAACCTGTTACTTCCACCAAGAATCATTTTCAATTATAACATTCAAATAATACTTCAGAAATTGAAGATTTTAGCTCCAACTTAAACGCAGCTTCTTAAATCATAATTACAAAGATAATTCCCTTGAAACCACCAATTATCAAAGTTCAATTGAATCCATTGTCTTGAGTTTGAAACAATTTTCTCTGCGAAATGAATGCAGTCATTGATTCGAACCATGAACTCAATTATTTCAGTTCATAGATTCGAATACAGTCATTTCAATTAAGATTCACGGGTGATAAATTTAGAATTATCCCAATTCAAGTAACAGCTGGTTCGCTGATTGTGCTTCTGATTTGTTGAGTCGGTATTATTTGTTTGAAGTTTGATAATATATCTCAACAAAGTGCTCACAAAAAATTCCGATAATCAAATCAAAATTTGAGATTTCTGCTTCAGTGCGGCAAGCCGGTATGATTTTAAGATTCGAGAGTAGAAAGGGCATCATTCCACCAAGGACTCCAATAATCAGAGCAACTATCTTGACAGAGTGGTTTGGATAGAGTCTGCGGAGTTCAAAGAGAAAATCTCGATATTTTATCTGTTTTTCCTCCTCTTTTCGGATGATATTCGTATCGCCAGGAGCTGAAAACTCCACGACAAATATTGTCTTACGCTGGTGGTCGAGAAGGACTACATCAGGCTTATTAGCTTATATGAGCCTGAGGGTGGAAAACGAATAGTTCCAATAAATTCAGCCCTTCTCGTTCCCCACAATGGATTCAATATCCCACGGAGTGTAGGGTAACACCGGTGTCTCGTCGATACCGTCAGAGTGCCGTAGATGGTAATATAGCATTCTTAGGGCCGCGATATGTCGATGGATATAGGCCGAGACCGCATATGCTGGACATGCTGATAGCAAGCGCATTAGCGAATTTACAGGCTACATCCAGTACCATTCTTTCATGTAGACACTTCAACCTCAAAAGTCCACAGCCTCCCTGTTGTCGGGGGAAGTACAACCGTGGACTGGACGATTTGGGATGCAGATTCCTAAAGAGATGCATCTTTTTTCGGGTCTTTGCGTCGAGTTGATACAGCTCCTCTCCTATTATTTTTTTTTCACCGAAGTGAGTGCTGGTCAAGCTCTATGCCCCGAAGCCCCGATACATTCGGCAGGGCGCGCCAGCATTATCAACCAACGATCACCCCCCTCACCGTGGGGTAAGTGATCATTGGGTCCGAGAATCATGTGCCCCTAGCAAGCGCAATGAGATAAGAATGACAGCCTTCTGCATCTGTCCGGCTAAGATTTCTGCTTTAGTGCGGTAGGCCATCTATTATATGTCTGTAAATTTACTGAATACCATATTTGTTTGAGAAAGCTATAGGAATGCCGAAACGCGTCACATATTACAAGTAGTAATATATTGTGAATATTCAAAAAACAAGTGTTTTTCATTTGATTCCTGTACTTCTTAGGGCTGGGGTGCGCACTTAGAAAGGATTTTTAAATATTCCAACTTGGCTGCCCCCCGTGGGGGTAAAGGGGCGCGTTTGCATATGAAAATTACCTTTTCATCACTGTTTCTCCAAATACCGCTATATTTTCGGAGTCTGAAATTTTGTATGTAGGTTCGTTTTATATTATGTAGATGTTCAATAAAAAAAATCTGTTTTTCCGTTAATCAGCTGCCGCCCCCATACGAACGACAACTCTCAGAAGTTAAGAAACTTGTGCGAGCTAAGGACTAACGAGGTCTTACCTTTAAACGTGTGATTCCTAACACGGTTGCAGAATCATTCCAGCTTCAACCAGATAAATTCTCTCTAGAAAAATATCTGGTCGAGGCGGGAATCGAACAGACGACCTTCCGATCGTGAGTCGGACGCACTACCACCGCGGCCAATTCCACAACAGAAAGGATTTTCGAATATTCCAACTGGAACCCCAGCTACGGAAGAAAAAGGCGCGTTGATAATACAAAATTATCTTATCATCACTGTTTCTCCATGCCCTTAAACTTCCGGTGGGTGAATTTATATTTAGTATCAGTATTGCACCCGTGCGGATCCGTTGCAGGTGGCTAGTTTATTATATACCTATTCAAATTCACTGTACTAACCACGATATTATTGTCATTTATTTGAAGTTCGTCTATTTATTGCTGTATTGTATTCCATTCTATGAGGTCACCATTGCTCAACAAAGGATAAAAGGAAATTTGTAGAACCTCACCACTTAGTTTTTACCACAAGAACAGTCAAGCTGAGGAATTTTTTGTAAAAACGTTCATACCTCAATTCCAAAAAAGGCACTTCACAATTAATTTTGTACACATGCAAATTGCAATCCAAAATTAAGTTCTAGGATTTCTGAAAATTATAACGGTGATCTTTAAATCACTTAATTTTCAGGACCTTCTTAAGTCCAGGTCCTTAAACAAGATCAACTCTTTTTTTGTATGATTCTCCAATAAACCCTAGAACCATATTGATTTGTCAACTCTTGCAGCTGAAGCTCTCAGCTTACTATTTTTTTTTTGTTTCAGCCTCAATCTTTACGAACTAATAAAGAAAAACAACTATCAGGGATTTAGTCTGGCTTTAATCAGGAGGTTCGCCATGTCTCTCCTTAACTGCTTAAGTTTGCTGCATGAGGAGAATATCATTCATTGTGATCTCAAACCGGTAAGTTCGGTATTTTGCATAATTGTTATTCATTATAGCGCACTAATCGATTGGAAGCGTTGTTTTTGCTCGCCATTCGCAGATCAACGTTCTCTGTAATTGCGAAGTCATTAGATGGATTTTTCGTGGGCTCAAGCATGCAATTTGGTCTTGAGATTGGTAGATACTTATAACATCTATTATTAACCAACCAAAAGGTGGCAAACTCCTTCCTGGAGGTACATAATGGGATCAAACTGCATATTTATCATTTTCATTGTGAAAGATATATTTTACATCAATGAGTCTATGTTATTACAATAAAGGGTTCCAAAACAAATATTTTCTGCATTTTCACAATATTCACAATTTTTACTAATACTGACATAAAACTATCGAAACGACTAAGAATTTTGGCAAATGTATTGTCATTATTCAACGAAACCCATTGAAAGATGTAATGACAAACAGTTTTTGCAAATCTATTAAATCTTTGGCTTTTGTTATCCTCATGTATAAAAAAAAAATCCGGAAAAAGAAGCGTAATATATGGTGAAAAGGCTGATTGAAGAAAAGAAAAGATGTACTTCGACATCATGACATGAAATGTTAGACCACAATTTTGTGAAATTGCCCAATGCTCATCTGCGAGTTTTATTCACGATTTCTTCAGTTGAATTATTCAAGCTTGCTCATTGGTACACCCTTTACTCAATCAAGCATAACTGAAATGCAATGAATCAATGAGTTGCTTGTACAACTGTAATTCTTATGCAAAATAATGTTACAGGCGTTCATGTATCCTCGTACAAAAAGACTGACTATTGACTATGCATGCTTATATTAAGTGTGTAGCCACCTTAATACGCAACTTTGCTTTCATTCTACCTGGGCATCAGTCATGTTCATTGCATTAGGTTGTTTCAGCATCTAAATTTTCACGATAACTTAAACCTTTATAATGGTTTTGACAGTTCTCACAGATCCAGTGAAACCATTGTACTTTTGATGTCACCTGTCATTAAATATCCCAAATATTTTAAATAGCTCACGCAAAAGTCCGCAAGAGGCTCTTTCTCTTAAGTCATACATCTTTGGAACAGGCGTAAACGAATATTTCTCTATATGGGTTCATAGAAAACTTTTATTCTTAAAAAGTATTGACTGTCGAATACTCGGAACTCTTGAATTGCAGATCTATAATCTTATTTACTAACAACAACTACAACTGCTTTTCAAAGTATATGTCATTCAGACAATCTGTATACATATGAACATTACAATAAATAACAATTAGTATCATAATGTAACGGATCTGAAGCCGTCCCTGACCGATATGTCGGCTAACGAACAAACACATGACATCAACACAAAAGAAATGCAGTCGGCAACCGCCGGTTAAACTCTAGTTGAGTACCGAAACGACTACAGAATTCTAGAACGATCGTTACCGATATATAGGCCGGCTTCTCGTCTCAAGAGGGCAGTTGAGTTCAGAAAGTGAATCGTGCGGTTAAACAAGGAATTCAAATAGTGGAAATGAATTAAGCGTTAGTTGCTAAGTGTTGTAAATAAATTAGTTGGTGATAGTGAAATATTGTTGGAAATAAATTTGTTTAATTGTTACAATTGGTGTCAGAAGTGGGATTTGTAAAATAAATCTGTGAGCGATTAGTGGACAATCTTTGTATTGCGGTGAAATTGACTATAGGACTTATTTGTTCGCGCAGAGAGATTGGTGATGTCATGTGTTCGCTGACCGACTTATCGGTCAGGGGCGTTCAGATTCGTTACAATGTCATAACCGTGCTAAACTTCAACAAAAACCAGCAAATACATCAAATACTGTATATACCTGTAACAAACACAATGAAATTTTACCAAATGCAGTAATGACATAAATGAAAAATTAACACTCATTTCCGCTCTTCAAATCTACGTTTTTATTTTTCATTAAAAACTGAATAATTTTTAAAAACCAAGTTTGAAGATGGAGACAAATGGAATCTTTCAATGAACAATGAGAAATGAAAATTTCTATGTTTTTTATCACTTTTATTTGTAACTGAAAGTTACTCCAGTTTCCTTCTATGAAAATTTTCATTTCTCATGTTTCATACGATATCCTACCACGTAGTAACGGCTACGTCCATTAATTTATGGAATCTTTTAAAATATGACTGAACAATAATACGTTTATTCAACGGTCATTGGCCTCACTGCATATTCATGAATTATTCAAATCGAAAGGGGATATTTTTTAGTAGCGATTATTTTTTGGAAACAGGCCTTTTCTGGTTTCATCTGTATTATGAACGATATCTGATTCATTTGGAAAACAAACTGAATAGGAGGAAGTGATTTTTGTATAATTCAATGTTCATATCATAGTGGTTATTTCAAATGTACTTTTTCTTTCGTGAAATTCAATGTTTTGATGAAAGTAGTTGTTTCGAGGCGGTTTTTTTTCAGATTCTATCTGAAAGTAACTCCTCTGCTAGATCTTCACATCTTTTAAAAGAGTTCAGTTTGAACCTATTTCCGTTATTTCTTTCTTTGAAATTCTCCCACAATGTATTGTATAAAGATAGAGAAGTTAGAGCTTTCCACCCAAAAATTAATTATTTCTTATTTCAATGAACTAAATTTCATTATTCATCAGGAAATCGTTACAAAATCGACATTTCGAAATTTTTTAAATAGTCATGAAAAATATTTCCTGGCAATAACATTCAGAAGGATAGTTTTGATTTTTTCAACATACTAAATTGGACTTTACGTTCCACCAACGTAGCCAGGTACTTGATAAAAGCTAAATCTGAAACTTCTGGTATGGAATAAATCCAAAAACAAGCAGTTTTTCCTATCATCAGAACTTCAATAGATGAAGGAGATGAAGAAATCTAAACATTAAATATTAGTTTTCTCCTGATGACGCTAACTTGGTTGGTATTTAAATTCTAGTGTTTGTTTTTTTAGGTACATTTTACAGTTCCGCATTCCTTCACGTCTCATTCTCTCAATTTACAGTGACCACCCTGGTGGAAATAGTTTCACAAAAATTGCATCTAGGAAATACAAATAAATATAAGAGGAACCACGAAGCATCAGAAGCTTGTATGTGGTGAAAAACATATTCTTGAATATAAAATCTGCAAATATAAAACATACTTAACATCGGAAATATTAAATAAAGTCGATAAATCTATATAAAGAGTATAAAATGTAAAATCCAATCAAAATTCACATATAAATAAAATCTAATATAGAAAATGTAAATTGATCATACCTCAATAATGTGTGAGTATGTAAAAATTTTTCAATAAAACTAAGTATATAAAACAAAAAAATGTAAAAGTCCTTTAGTACCTTCGGTATTGTCTGAGAGTGAAAGAATTTCAGGAATGCAAACATGCCGGTACATCAAAGAAAGCAACACAGTCGTCTCAAGCAAGTGGCACTGCAATTCATCTACAAAGTCACTGAGATATTTCTACTCGCCATACCCCTTGAGGATGCCGCCAACGAGCAATTGCGACAAACAACGTAGTCGATATCCAAAAGGAAGTCTGAAATATTTGCATTTTGGATCATGTCACGATCAAAAATTTCGCTAATTTTTTCTCGTGATAGACCACAGATAAAGAGAGTGAGCTCTTTTTTCTTTTTAGAAATGATTTGCAGGTTTTTATGTTATCCGGTAGAGTTGTAGACAATCGGTCCCAGAACACTGAATGATTTCTGTCCTTTAGACTTAGGAGCGAATGGTACCTAAACTACCTATATTTAGTTTTGTTGCGTGTATTGTGTTCGTGTTTAGACTTGATCAATCTATTTATTTCCTCGTTTTGGTATAACGTTGTACCTAAGTATGTAAAATTTTCGAATTATTTGCCTAGCTTTATTGTTTACATATTTGGTATGCACGTTCCATTTAAGGTGTTGAGCGACAGTTACGCCAAGATATTTCATTTCTCTGGTCTTTTGAATAAACAATTTTTTTCAGTTTCAAATCAAGAATCTTCCTGAGCTGTCGAAATTTAAAAAGTATACATCTTTATTATTTCATTAAATAATTCATGTGGAAATCCCATCTCAAATAATCAATTATTAAAATTAGTTAAATTGGTGTAGTAATTATCATAAATGACATCTCCCCACTAATTTGTGGCAATTGGCGACACCCACATAGAGGAATTCTTTCGTCTGGCGGCACAATAAAACTTTTTGTGGAGAAGATGTCACGTTTAGTGCTTTTATTTTAATAACCAGCAAACCGAGGTATTTGACCCCTCGAATGACAAACTGTTGATAAGATGTGACCTAAGAACGTTCGGATCACAACAAAGAAATCCTTCTGCGAGACGCAAAAAACTAACTGCGTTCGAAACATCAACCTGTCATTATTTGATTTAGACTTGAAAATAATTGATGCTTAGGTGGAGCTCACCTTGTTATTATGGTCGATGTTCAAAAGCGTTTCGAAGAAAACGAAATTAAATTCCTACACAGCGCTTCATTAACATAAAAGGAAAACGTCGTTTCAAACTGGCATTGATGAGGTTCAATACCTTTTTGATATCATTCCGAATAATCAGCTTTACGAATTACGGAAAACTAGACACGCTCTTAGATATAACTGTGCTTTGCATATCTCATTTGCTTTCACTAAAGCAAGAATAATACAAGGTTTTCCCGAAAACTAGATTAAAGAACTTATTCTACGCAAAATTTCTTCGACAATGACAACTTTTCCCAACAATTTTTCTTCTTTGACTTGTTAACAATTTAAGTATATTCACACTTTTCTGTAAGCTTTTAGAAAATGCATATTTTACTAGTTTACTTCATTTTCACCGAACTGCAACAAATGTATATCAAATATTGACTGATTTGACTTATCTTTTTACAAAAATGTGGCAGTCTTCCAAAGAAAGAAAGGAAGCAATCAACTATATACATACAAAAATGTGTAGATCACAAAGAAGTAACTTTTTAGACACAAACTGGAATAATAGCCCTCACTATTAACTTATTTTGTTTCATTTTTGACTCTCGCGTAACTAATTAAATGAGTCGTTACAATATTGTTAAATACAGGTGTAAACGCCTGAGG